CTTGCCCGCTGCGTCTGGCTCCTTCGTCCCGGACTCTCTGTGTGAGCGCTCAGGTATGGCCCCGGCTACGGTCTCCGCCGCGACCCTGCCGCCGCTGCCGCGGCGGCTGCTGGCGAGCGCTCAGATGTGTCTTTTTGCCTTAGCTTCCCCTCTCTTGTCTAAGTCTCTGTCCTGTGATGGCACACTTGGTGTGATTCTCTGGCTTAGGACTGTTCAATGGAACTCTAAAACTGCTTTCTATGCGAGAGCTTGTTCAGATTCCAGCTTCTCCTCCGCCATCTTCCCGGAACTCCTGATTGGTTTCTTAAGTCAGTTTGTTTGAGCAGGCAGAAAAATGTTCTGCCTTACCCAGCATTTTGTGATCCTCCTCCCAGACTAGTTCAGTGGGAGGGAGATGGCTGTTTGCTCTAGCTTGGAGTTGTTGTGATGAGGCTAGATTCTGGGTAGAGTTGAGACCGATCAGCAATCAGTAGCTTTTCTCTGAGGGGCTAGCTCCTGAGATACTCACAGACCCCAGCCTGGAGCCATTCTCAGGGTTTATATTTACTGATTTTCAATTGTTTGTCTAGGCTGCAGTGCGGAGGTGCAGCCTCTAGCTCTGTTTACCCAGTGAAGAAAGCCACTCCTCCATGGGCGGACCTTTCTCTGCCTGGGCAGGGTGACTTTCCCCTGGGTGGAGCTGAGACTGGCAGGTCAGGTCAGGTTCTAGTGATCTTCTAAATGGCTCCAAGGCCTGAGTTGGAGCTAGCTGCTTGGGCAGGGCCTTTGTCAGTATCAAAGATGGAGATCTCCAGTGGTGGGGGAGGAGTGGCCTTCCCAATGCTGCTCTGTGAGAAGGAGTGAGAATTCAGGGTTCTACTCACACCAGACTCTTGGTTCTTGGGCCATCCCTGGGAGTCAATCTGCAGGATGAAGATTTCTGCTTCTTGTCAGTTCTTGCTGGTAGTGAGTAGAATCTGCTCACATGCCCCGTCTGGCACCTTTGTCCTGTCCTGTTCTCTAGCCTAGAACTGTTCACTGGAACACTAAAACTGCTTTCTATGCAAGAGCTTGTTTAGCCTCCAGCTTCTCCTCTGCCATCTTCCTCCAGTCTTCTGGTCATGTATTTTGACTTTGAAATGTCACATGAGATGTTGTAGAATTTTGCATTTGCAAGATTATGTCAATTGCTCAAAAACATTCTGATTTTTGGATCATTTCGATTGGTGGTGTTGCCATTTTAAGTTGTATTGGAATTTTAAATATAGAAGAAATGAAGCTTCCAAAGGCATGAATCTCCTTCTGTGGAACACCATGCTCTTCCACCAGAACTTCCTCTACTTCCAGTCCCTGTTTGGGTGCCAGTTGTTGCTGTTTCCACAATGGGATCTGGGAACCTGATGTCTGGTATAGGCAGGAAGGGATACACCATGCAAGTATAGACCAGCTTATTCCTTTTATGATTATAAGAGGGCCTATGAAAATTGCAGACTTACATTTCTTTATGCTTTGTTGGAGAGATAGGGTAGGAGAAAAGCTTGCTTCTTTTTTTATTAGCCCTGAATAAAGTTCTTGCCACTCATTGACCCAAATCACTATATGTCTAGTTCTGAATTATTGGAGAGCTAACAACTAACAGTCTTCCTGCCTTCCTCAGTGTATTACTTCCAGGTCTCTCCCACCCCCACCTCCAGCAAAGTTAACATACAACCTCTAAGTATTTGGTTATGGCTTATATCTTGTGGGACTTTTTTTTAATCTACCCTTTAAGACTGCTTAAGACTTCCTTTCATACTATAGTATAGAAATTTGAATGTAATTTAGGATTTCTGTGACTATATCAACCAACAACAGCTCATTTCTATCTGGATACAGTGGGCTTCGAGGACAAGTTGACCAGGGCTATGCAGGTTCTTAGAAACTTTTATCTCTTCTGCTGTTTAGTTGGTTCTTGTTTACTTTGCTGGTCCTAATTTAATTTTTGTTCACATTAGATTAATCTGGAAAGAGATTTTGGGAACTGCTTTCATTTGAACACTTTTTGTCAAAATTCTAAAAGTTTAAAAATACTCTTTGTTCTATATTAACTTGTGGTTTTAGTACATTTGAGTCAGTGGACAAGATGAATAAAGTTTCAGATATTTGGAACCTAAACTGACAGTATGACTAAAGGATCATCATAAAAATATTTCATGTGTATTCTGTAATAGAATGGGTTGTATTTTGATTGACTGTTTATGTAAGCCTATTATTCAGTATAGATCCCGTTAGATCCTACCAGAACTTCGGTGTAGGGTTTGTGATTTATATTTGATCTGTTTTAGTGTAAAGCAAGGTAAGTAGTGGATCATCCACATCCTCCTATGCCAGACTTTGAAGGACTTCTAAACACTATACTTTTTTTTTTTTAGATTTTTTTTATTGTGAAAATACCATACAGAGGAATTACAATTACATGGGCAAGATAATGATTACATTTCTTATTAAGAATTGTT